TGAGACAAGAAGAAGCGTTCGTCGAGCCGCAACAGATGGTTTCCCAGCCCACGAATCCGATGGCCACGACTTTGGTTTGCTCTTTATGTTTGTACAGCCATGGTGGAGATGCGCCTCAACGGGTAATCGGTCTCTTAGCTGTAGATGAGAAATTTAGCCAGTGCGGTACAACCGCTAACCTGGGGTTTTTAACGTGCATCACGCAATACTGATCACACGAACGCGTGCCGGTACGAAACTCATCTACATCGAAACGGGCGGGGGCGGCGGGGATCGAACCCAGGAGGTTCCCAGCGCAAGCTTTCGCTCCACGCTCCGAGCTGAGACACGTTAGCCCACTCGGTCACTTCCTCCCCTTGGCCACGACTTCCTGGGACCATTGGGTTTAAATAAGCACTTGGTTCCCGGTCGGACTGATCTCGTCAGGATTCGGAAAGTATAGACCTTTCCAGCGGCAGTCTCGAACGAAGCGATTTACAGCGCGCGTTCCTGGTTTTGAGAGTGTATGTCAGTGTTGCCCGACTGCGCTGAGCTGTCGAGGTTCTCGTCAGTGGGCTGTGGCAGCCTGCGTAGGCGCAATTCCGGAGGCTGGCAGCGGCTGAAATGCCGCGTTTTCTTTTTTATTTGGTGTTCTCTGGCGAACATAATTTATAGAGGTATTTAAGAAAGCAGTGCTCTATTTTTGGGAACAAAAACAACAAAAAGGAAAGCTGTTTTTGGCGAGTCTGTGCGCGACAAAACAAATGCAACTGGAATGTTTGTTTCATTTTATGTTCATCATTTTACGGCACCGTACACTCAGCCGTGTCAATCTATATAGGTCAAGATATTTGACCACACAGGATATCCGGACTGCATGGATATTCCCCGCCCACAACATGAAATTCAATGAGTCTCATCAATCGAACAACATATATTGTACGTACCCCACGGTGCCGCGTTATCTGAACAGGATTTGAGAAAGGTCTCAAATAACACAGCATATCCAATATAGGAACCGTGCGCATCTAATTCAAGCCCCGACCAGGGCGCCCCTAGCGGCAAGCGGGTCCATTGCATCGGGGAGCTTCTGCCAGTCGCTGCGTTGGTTGTGCGTTGTAGTTAGGGGTGTCGCGAACTTTTGTCGAACCAGATTTTTTGGTCGAACTTTCGGGGTTCGACTGGGTCGAACCGGTTCGACGAACCTTCGAACTTTTAACCAAATTCGACCGGTTCGACTTTGTGGACAGTGTGGCCAGACCTTTATAAAAGCATGTCTAAGTTTGGAGAAACTTTTTTTATGCGAAGGGTTATTTTTAAATTTATGAACAGTCACAATTAAAGAAACCAATTCTAATCACAGAAGTTAATAACTTAATTGTTTTGTGCTATATTAACTGAAATAACCAATCAGCGCTGCACTCAGTTCATCTCTTAGCCATTATCATTCAATCCGAAGCCAACTGGCCATCCTGTCGCGCATGTGCACACGAGTCGAACCTCAATAGAAGGTTCGTCGAAATTTCCACTAAAAGTTCCAAAAAGTCGAACCTGGTCGAACTCGAACCGCGGCCGGTTCGCGACACCCCTAGTTGTAGTGGGTTAGCGCTGTAATTTCTGAGATGGCTATTCCGCACCAAAAAAGCCGCAACAATTGCTGCGTGGTCGGCTGCAACAGTACGTCGAAGGTCGCGCACGGCACGAAGTACTACATCGTCCCTTCGAAGCCGTACGAGGCGGAGTACTGCGCGATCTGGGTGCGACTTGTGCGTCCATACAGGTTAGTGCATGGTGTTTCTTACCTTCCAGTTCGCGCTTTGTTTAAGCTGCTGACGAATAATACAATTAACTTTTTTTCTATTCTAGCGACAATGGAACAGCATCTACACCGACGGCAAACTCTAAAGTATGCAGCAAACACTTCACCGGAATTGAGAAGCGGAATGCGGTCGCCCACCTAAGCCTACCCTTGGATGTTTCCATCAGCCTACAGTGGGAATCGCGTAACGGCGCGAAAAAAATCGCCCAGTTATTGTCAAGCTGATTCAGAAATAAACGTACAGAATTACCACAGTCCACTCAACGCCAACTACATTTTTTGCGGGCGCGCTTAATTTCGTTAGCGGAGTACGGCGCTCCGTGACATCCACTTGTCCGTCGAAACGGACCTCCTTCACGTCGTACACGCGGCCAGATTCACGAAGGAGTTTTCCCTTCTTCATATTGGTGCCAGGAAAGAAGCATTCTAGATTCGTAACCGCCTTAAACCCCGTCATAATCACCCCGGGGACACTGTCCGCTGTGTTGCTCATCGCCATTGCTTCCCCCCGATGATTCTGCACCGGCTACCGAAGAAGCTTTCCGGATTCGTAATCGCCCACTGTCCTGTGTGGTGTTCGTTGCTATTACTTCCCGATGATTCTGCGCCGACGGCACCGGCTACCGAAGGAACTTTCCGAATTCGTAACTGCCTTAAATTCCTTCGTAATCACGACGGGGACACCGCCCGCCGTGCTCTTCATCGACATTGCTCCCCGATGCTCCTGTGGCGGCTACCGCTAGGTCGCGGCGAACAATAGGCGACCGCCGTGACACGGCCGGCTTGCTCGCTTCCTATACAGTGTCGACGATAGTCACTTCAAGACAATCGGACGGAATCCGGCGTGTTTTGGGGAACATGTAGAAGAGAGCAGCTTTTTTGCACAGCTTCAAAGCAAATGAACTATTCTGTCCCCACACCCTGGACCCGACCCTATCAGCTATTTTTCGCGAAGACCCGGAACACAGCCGGGAAGGCTTTTTGGAGATTATCTCAACGGAAATAATCCTCCAAGAACGTCGAACTGCCTGCGTCGCGGGCTGCTTGACGTTCGCTCTCTTCGTTCGTGTCCTGCGAAGGCCGAGCAGGCTACGAGCCCTGGTATTTTCTGATTCTCACAGTGGAAGATAGCACACAAAGGGTAAGCATCATAAACAGGCGAATAAAGTAAAAACTTCCAAGAAAAGCCGACGAACTCCGAATGCAAAATGCTGGTGGGGAGTCACGCTGACCGGGTTTCCACAGCTCAGGCGGGTGCCAGAAATTTCTGGCTGATAGGGGTCGCTCGATTCGCAAAATGGCGTCGGCCAGAGCGCTCTTTTTGCAAAGGTCTATAATCCCACCGACGCGCCGGTCATTATCCCTAAGCGGTAACATCCCGAACACTCCCTCTGCCAGTGAACAGGAAACGAGACGCCGTCTTCACAGTTCTTCGTCCGCCGTCACTAATCCGTAATCCGTAGATTTCCAGGAGGCTGAAGGTCGCTTCTCTGCTCGGGAACCAGGAACGACGGAGGATCCCACTAAAGTAAAGAATGCACTGCCCAGCGCCCCTTCTGTTCATGGCGGACAACTGTCGGTGCCATTATCCAAGTCAAAAGAAGGTTAGATCGACAAGCACAAGGGAGTTGTACACCATTCCGATCACTCCGGTAACGACACCCGACCCTTTGCGCATGCATGGTATCGTAATCGGGTATCATGATCAGAGGCATCGAAACGATCCACTATATATTCGTTTTCACATTAAAAAAAAAAAAAAATGTGCGCATTGTTCATGCGCCGCGCGAAGTAGTTGTTCTTACAAGATTTGGTTGTGGGAGGAAGACGCGATGCTTTTGGCGTTTGAAGGATGTACGTCTAGATAAGATAACATATATCGAATCTAAAATAAAAGCAAAAGTTAAATTATAAAAAAAAAAAAAAAACTGCGTTCGTCATTGAGCATGGTAGTGTACAGCCCTTTTATGGTTTATACTTGCTACCTTTTCTACTTCCACGTGCGATTTCCTGTGGCTGGCCGTCGCCTTCGTCTGTGCCCCGATTTGTTTACGGAGCCGCATTTTAAGAACCGGGGAGCCCGTAAAGGAACGCAGGAATTCGGAGAAACGCCCCGAGGTTCTCGTCCGATGCGCTCCGCCCTTGTGAGATTTGGGTGGGTGGAGCCGCGAATTCTTCGGCGATTGCCGGCGAGTGCTTCGAGAGGCGCCAGCCGTCATCGCGAGGCGCACTCTGTTTTATTCGCTCCACGTATGTATATAGCTGACGGCCGGCGAAGAAAATAAATGTACACGATGGAGCAGCAGACGATGAATAGGGAGTATGAAGAGTTGCACTGGGAAACGGCACGGAGACACGCAACTCGAAGATGGCGTGCAATTCCTCGACGCCCAGGCAGCTCGAACCGCTGGGGACGAAAGGCCTGGCAGAGAAGTTCGAGCCATGATTGAAAGATTGCGCTGCCTAATGACAACGTGCGGACGTCGATGCGGCCTGCTCATCCGTCCGGCACGAACAAAAAGCCAATCCCACGCCTGCAGAAGAAAAAGTACTGAGCAGCACAAATACAAAAAAGAAGAAAAGAAAGAGGAGACTACAGCCGGTAGGCAGGCACAAGCCAGTCAAGGCAGTGCCGGTCGCCGGAGCTATCAGGGGAGCCAAGTGGCCAAGCCGGCCAAAGCCGTGAAAGGAAAGCAGAAAGTTGGCAGGCAGGCAGGCAGGCAGGCGGCGGGGTGGCGGAGAGCCACACTGGGAGAAACACCCCACAGAGCCGCAGAAGCAAACGACCATTTGAGAGAGGAGGCTTCCGTCCCTGGGAGGGGAGAGAGGGCGGAAAGGAAAGGGAACCACCTGGCAGACGACATTCCTCCGCGAAGTCACGTGACGTGCGTCATTCGGCGCTCGAAGGAACTGCCGCGCGCGAAAGGAAGTAGTTCCCCGATCAAATCGGTTTTGAAGTTGTTTAGAGGCGCAAGAAAACATCGCGTATGATACAGGTTCTTTTTGACTAACTATCTGCGATGTATATCGAGAGGCTAAACGGCGTTTCTTGACGTTTCGAAAGTTTTGAGGCTGGGTTCAAAATCCTCTCGCGGCGGTGGTTCGCGTTTCGCGTTTAGCGCGCGCGCGGAAGAAGAAGGAGAGAGAGGAGGAGGGGTGCGCTGCGCGAGGGGGTGATGGGGGGTTCCCAAACAGGACGGTTCTCTTTTCCAGTGCAGTGTTGACGGTGCGACTGTCTGGTGGACTGGCCGTCGACGGACCGCCAACAATTGTTCGAGTGAACGATGCGGTGGTGGTGGTGCTTCTCGTGAGACGGTACCCGAGGCAACAAAACAGTGGTCGCCGTGGTTCGTCCGTGATCGGAAAGTGCTGCGTTCATGTGTGCCCTCCTCTGGATTACCTGCTGGATTACGGCGACGACGGCCACTCAAACAATGACAGGCCGCTGGCGGTGACCCCCCCTCGAGCCGTCGAATCCCTGTCGCGACGCACGGATTAACGAAAAAGACTTCGCTCCGAGATGAAACCCCGGAAAATGCGACTGGCCCTCGGGCTCTGGCTGGCCCTTGTGGCCGTCACGATACCACCGACCGTGCAAGGTAAGCGATCCACTGCCGTGCAGCTTGCTTTTCCTGTGTGTATGTACACAATGTTGCTTCGATATTAAACGAGAAAAACGTTGGTACCAGACGCATCCCGTGGTCCAGTAGAGGATGGAGATAGCATTTTTCCGTGAAGACAGTCGCTTTGAAACATCAAAAGGAACACAACCCCGCGATACAAAACAGAACGCCGAAAGCCATTTATATAGTGTATGTATATAAAAAAAAAAAAAGATTGACATAATTTCATTTATGTTCTTCGTCGTTTTCTTTCTCCAACGTCGTTTGTTTTACGTTGTATAGTTTGAGTAATTGTGCGTTAGATCACAGTTCTTATACTTTTCTTCACAGAGAGGCCACGCTTGTGCGGGAAAGCGTGGTATATTGAGGCAGCTGCAGAGAGAAGAGATATCGGTTGGGGACACCACTCCAGAAAGACTGCGCCTTATCCTTATCTTTCCAGCCGACCGATCAAACAACGCGATCGAGGCACCGAGGAGAACCAACACTGAATCTTGACTGCTCCGACAAAACAAGCGTCCTAGTCTACCCGGAATCGGCGATGAGAATGTTAATCACCCTTCGAAAGCGCCACACATCCCCGTGCGCATCACCATCGAAAGAGAGAGAGATGGTTACGCTTCGTGGAAGCAGCGAGTGCGAATAACCACTCCTCTTCCCTACACTAAAGAGTCGCATCACCCGCGTCAAGAAGCGCTCGCCGTTCCGTCGTCTGCACAACCACCACGTCCATTCTTCGTTCCTTCGAAAGGGACAGTGGAAGTTGCGGAACGCTGGTCACTTACTTCCCCGGTAGCCTCATCACCGTCCATTGAGAGCAGTCGGGCTGTGTGTTTATTTTGAGCCGTTTAATAAGCCGAGGCCAGCGAATCGTGCGTCGCCGCCGTCGGAAGAACGGGTCGTCTGCTAGGCCTACGCCGTCGTCTGCTCCGCGCGAATAGAGGGCGTCGGAAGAGAGGCATCATTGTTCTGGAAGTTGCGCTAGATCACTTCTTGGGGGTTAAATGCTGGGCCCCAAGTTACGGATGAAGGAAGCGGGAGCGGCAAATAATGGCTAACGAGGAGCAACCAGCCACGGAAACGTTTTATTGTTTTCGTGTGGCAGCGAGCACGGAGTCCCGAAAGAGAGCGGTTCGCGTCTTCGGTGGTACTGTCCCGTACGTTAGGCCTAGCTCCCCGCCAGCGCTGGTTCGTTGACAAAAGGGTTCCTCTCCCGGGACGCGCTTTGGTGCGAGCAAGTGGTTCCGAAGCCGAAGTGTTTTTTTAGTAATGTTGCTGGTCTTTGGACGCTTTAGTTCGTCCGTTACGAGTTCTTGTTGCGAGGCAGGTTGACATGTTGTCGGTTGTTATGGTGCGTCAGTTAGTGGCCTCACACACGATAGTCGAGTAGAAAAAAAAATAATTATTGGCCTTACTAGCACCACACTTAATACGCGCATATTTTTTTAGAAATACATTTTATCAAAACCCTTGCCACTCGATTACGATTTGCTAGTCTTGTCATTCGGCGTTCCCTTTTGATAAACAGAACGTTCAATCGAGGGCATTATTTTTTTCGCTACCGAATACGTCAGGTTGCTGCTAACGTGCTCAAATAATGAGCACCATTTTCATTTGCGCGCCAACAGAACCCTCCGATACAAGGGTCTTTATACGTCGCGTGTGCAAGATTTCCGAATAACTTTTAATTCACGCCGTTCCCCACTGAAGATGCATGTCTCATAACAAAGTTATGTCAATTTTAAAAGAAAATTGTGAAAGCGTCTCTATTATGCAACTTACCTAAAAAAAAAAAAAATCAATTAACAATCTTGCCAACATATCACGCAAAAGCCTGCGGAACGTTAGAATCGGTCCCATCAATATTTACGAAATCGCTGTGCCTCCCTTTTCAATGTACGGCGCAAAACGGACAGCCTTCTCCAACAGGCAAAACATACGCACCAGTCTTCCTCGAGGTGCGGTGCAATCACAGTAACGACAACTTAAAAACGAAAGGGCGTGGCCATTCATGAGCCTCTTGCTATCAGCCAATGAGATAAAAACCCCAACTGTTAAGAACAATCTGGGAAGCGATCGCGAAGCGACGTCATAATTAGCCACACCTTGGCCATCTTTGTTTTCCCCTTGAAGAAGAGTGCTGTCCTAGATCTTGAATGCCAGTGACGCTACTCTCCGTGTGCTGCAAATTGAACCACGAAAACGGTTAGAGGTCGACCGCTCATTTTTGCTTTAATATATAGATGGTATCGTTAATAGTTGGGGTGCGATCAGGCATAGAGTCTCAGCAATGCGTGCATGTATGTTGCACAGCAATATATTCCAAACATTTTCGATCTTCCTTTAATAACGATTAGACTATCTTGTAAAGTATCCGCTCTATTTGCAACTAAAATACGTTTGGAGCGTGATAAATAACCGCTTGTTTTTCTCGCTCAAAAAAAAAAAAAAAAAAATAGTGCGCATTATTTTTGTGTTACGTGAAGAGGTTATCACAAGATTTGGTTGTCGGACGAAAAGACGATGCATTTGGCGTTTGAAATGTGTACGTCTCGATAAAGTATCATAAAGCTAATCTAACATGCACCTCCATATATCTTAATTCAAAAGAGGAAAGAAAAAAATAGTAACGTTCGGCAAGAAACCAAGATTTCTTTTATTTTAATGATTATTACGGTTTTTGAGGAGAACACGATCACATGTAGTAACAAAGCTGATAATAAAGATATTAATGATTGGAGTTTATGGAGCACATCGTGAGGCAACATGGGCGCAGGCATTTATGGATGCATTACGAACACCCACCACGATGCATTGATCTTCTTTCAACCAGTTCCGCCAAGGCTTCTGCCACTGGCTCTTCATGGCCGTTGGAGAATGATAGCGCTTGTCCTTCTCATTGTCTGAACTGATTGAAAGAGGACAGATGATATGCGTTCGGGTATATATACCCGCAGGGAGTGCTAAAGCTCCTCCAGTCGCGCTGTTCAGATATTCTACAAAGAAACGCGTTCGCCGCAGACATGGTTACAGGCACTGGCGTCGATACAAAGAGGAGAAAGACTTATTTCTGACACGCCTGCTCGAAGCACGTTTGCTTCATACACGTGTGTGCTTGGAGCATGTCTGCACACAGTCTTTTGTATGTAGTATTAGCGGTGGGACAGGGGCTATACATGGATGGATTTCGATGACTAAGCCCTATGTAACGGGCGGTACCTAGCGCCACCTAGCCTAAGTCTAAAAAGGCAACCATATGGTTTTCTCCCCCTTACTATCACCTGGCAGTGATGGATATCACCAGGAATGACTGAATCCATGGCGAAGCGAAGGGTAGGACGGGTAAGAGGAGCCAATGCTTTCCGGTGTGGCGATCGAGCAACTGGAGATGCAGATGCATGCATCGCGATCGAGCGGCCAAGATAGGGTGCCGACGGGATTGGAACGTACGTATACTGGGGCGTGTGCGCAAATTAGCCGCGTCCTAGAGCGTTCCCTACTCTGCGATCGTCTCCGTAAGAAGGCGCTTCGTAGAGTCGGTTAATTAATGTACGTCCGCAAAGGAAGTACAAAAGTACGCCTTGAAGACACACTTATCGATGCCTACCGACACCCAATTAACTGAAACCCGATCGCGAGGACCCGAATATATGCCCAGAAGCAGATCTTACAGAATAGAAATCGGGAGATGCACTAACGTGAGAAACGAAACGGCCTCATTTCATTGGTAGCCATCGGCAACGTAAGAAATACAGGGAGTTTGGACCGTCTTATTATCGCCGCGACGCCAGTAAAACATCGTGGTTAGTCAATAACAATGCCGAAGAACGAATCACAAAGCAAATATCGCTGATAAATCGTAAATAAACACCTTTAAGGCAATCAATCTGGAGCTCCACAAACACGGCGGAAGTAACGCTTTATTTAATTCTAGCTTTTTGTTTTTCCTCCACAACCTTGAAAGGCCCCACGTTCGAGTTCCCGAACCGTGTGTTCGAAAAGTAAACGTTCTTAATCGGACGACCCCCCTCATCTCGTAGGTCTCTCAGTCGTAATAACCTAGGCATCATCATAGGGCCAATGACGGCGCGGTCGGAGATTTGAATCGCGTCGTTCCCAGCGCGCGTTGGTGCCACCGAGCCGGCGCCGATTACCGAACCCGGCATTCGGCGGCGCAGGTGCAACTTGCCCAGGCGGGGCAGGCAGGAAGCCTCTCCGCGAGGCAGCTGGGCCACTCGCCTCGCTCCTGGGGGACCAGATGGCGCCGGGAAGGAACCCCGACCGTGTGAACTATGGGCGCGGGACGCGCCGCGGGAAGGGAGGCCCTCCCGGGGGCTGCCGTCCCCGCGGGCCGCAGTCGACGTCATGGTCGCCGATGTCGTAGTAGGGCCTCATCGTCGCGCCAGAGCGAGAAACAAGCGACGCTTCTCGCAAAACGTCAAACAGAATTGTGTTGTGTGTATATTTAGAAACTTTAGAACAGCTGCAAGTTGTACACCAACAGGTTGTTTACGAACAAGAGCGCGTTTGCCAACTGCGCCTTCGCAGAAATCAGATTCTCGCGAGAGAAAGCGTCCGCGCATTGCGCAGTGGGGACAGCTGAGGTTTGAGTCGGTGTACAGCCACCGACAGATGCAGATACGTAGGGCGGCTTTTTTTATTGCAGCAGGGTACAACAGGTCTCGTCATATTTAGAATCTTTGAAACATTTCATACACCGATTTGGTTTCATCGGCGCTCATAAGTCCATACCCCTGTCGCGCAATACACTCTAAAAAAAGTCTGTGCGTCTACTTCCACGCACAACACTCGGAGAGCCAATCAGCGTAACTTATGAAGGCAGCTCAGCGAATGACGATGCCGAAACACATGTTTAGACCAAAAAACGCAGTCTGAGTTGTGACATTAAGCAATGCAAGTGTGACGTTTTGCATTGCTTAATGTCACAACTCAGACTGCGTTTTTTGGTCTAAACG